GCTGGCTGGGACGCTCTCAGACAAGTACTTTGAGCTGGACGAGCACGACCTGGCGGAGCTGGAGAATGCCGAGTCGATCGATCTGATGCTGTGTATGAGTCAATTGCCGGATGGTGGTGGATCGGCGGACGAGAGCGGCCTGATTACAGACACCAGTCTGCAGGCTCAAGATGACAACAGCATCATCTCCCGACCCTCTCGCCATCCTCAGCAGTCAACGACCACAAAGCCAGTAGTCAAGTCGACGGTCATGTACCCTCCTCAGCAGACTGCTAAGAAACCACTCCTTCCACCCTGCATCAAAACACCCCTCGTCAAGTCCGCTATTCGCTACCCCACCGTCCCCATCTCTCATCTTAATAATAAACCACCCGTCTTGGTCCCCACTCACCCTCATCACCATCTCAATCGGCCAGTCAAGAAACTCCGCGCAGGTGATTAAGGGGATTCTGTTTTGTAATTAAATCCAGATCTGTTTTTCTTTTTTTTTTTTTTCTCATGAAAATAATTATTACTTGTGTCACAGCGCGACAGTAAGATATAATCAAGAAGGGAATCATCCCCCTCTTAAATTCCCCCGCTGTGTGTGTTTCTTTCTGCGATGACCCACCACCAACCAGTCGAGACACTCCTCTGTCTTGTTGGCCAGCTGCTCGATTTGCTCGCATGGAGACGACCGAAGCGGGCAATCCTACTGCTACTCAGCCATGCCCTCCTCTCGCTGTTACTCGGAGGTCCGCCTTCCTTGGCATGTGTCTGCATGCTGGTTGGGGGGCATGTATACATGGAGGATCTTCAAAGAAGCTCACCAAGAAGACGACAGCGGGCCCTCATGGCTTGCAACCAACTTGCCCGTCTCGGCGTGCTCCTTCGCTCCACCCACATACATCCCAACTCTTCTCATCTCCCGCCCCGTCTCCTATTCCTGCTCCTCTCTCGTCTCCTCCTCCGTTACTCTCTCGGCCCCTCTCTCGCTCTATATCTCGACCAGGCCTTCTTCCTCATCTGCTTCTCGACCCCCTTCGTCTCCCTCTTCGTCCCCCGAAACTCAACTCCTATTCACGACATCTCTCCCGTCTTTCTCCCTCCCTCTTCTCTCTTTTTTTCACTTCTCTTCCTCCCCTCTTCTTTTGAACTGACATTCTCTTGGTCCCTTTTTCTTCTCTCTCGTCTTTTCTCCACAAGAATAAACAACCTTCCGTCCATCTCAATCACTCCCACAACGGCACGGAAGTAGTTGATGTGCGCATAAGAATCACCATCATCGAGCATCAACGTTGGCGACAAGACACCGGGGTGAGTAAAGTCGGGCCGTAGTTAAAAGAGAAAAGTGGTTGTTTAAATTTTTTTTTTATGGGGTAAGTGGAGTGGGGAGATGACGGCATTGGATAAAGAGACGGTAGGGGGACGATGGACGGACGAGGCGGGTCTGGAGGTGAGGGAGAAGACGAGGGGGGAGCTGGTGAGGTTACCGACGAGTAGCGCGGAGGAGGGCTGGTGGTGGAGATGGGTGGAGCCGGGCTGGACGATTGTGGGGGGAGGGAGGAAGGGCTCGGATGATGGGGGCGAGACTGGGCAGGAAATGGGGCCGACGGACTCAGACGGTTAGTCCTGTAAAACTCTGCTCCCTCCAGTCATCACTCATCCTTTCTCTCCCTTAAGGTTGGGCTTACTTCGACCATCGTTGGCGTCCCTTGTCCTCGCCTTCCTTCTTCGCCTTCACCCGTAAACGTCGCTGGTCTCGCCTCGCTATCCGCCAGTCCCGTCCGACCTCCAAGTCTCCTTGATCTTTCTATCTCACTCTCTCCTATCTTTTTCTTTCTTTCTCTTTTCCTGGATACTTTCCTCGCTTCTTTTCTTCCATTGAAGCGATGGTCGATCCCGGATTATATATGACACTTGGTCGAGACGAGCCCTGCGCGACTGTGTTCGCATGACCTTGATGCATATCTGTTGGACTTGCAAGTGAAGATTTTTTTACACTCTTTCGAGATTTTAGATGGACTAGATGGTGTTTATTGATAATACCACTTCATTTCTCGTCATGAAAACTTGGGGAGAAATCTCGTCACCCTTGTTACGGATTAACACATACATGGTACCACTACTCATGGAAGGGCTCAGACAGTCTTCTCAGTGTGGTGAGACTAAAGCGATGTGTATCAAGTACGGACTTCAGTAGGAGTGGCCGGGAAGTCTCCTCCCGCTGGTAATTGAGCCGCCGCCGTCAATTGTGCCTTTTTAATTTGACAGGAAACACAATTCACTAAGTTTAATGGTACTCAGTTGCAAGCACGGAACACACATGGATAAAAGTTAATTGATAGCTGTACAGAGTGGAAAAAAGTATGTATAATGGTTGTTATTGGATGAAAAAGAGGTCGGGAGTACATGTTAGTAGATGGATCCATCAATCATCGATACTTTGTAAAGCAGATAAACATCTGTCTTGATTGAGTTTCATGCCTTCCATGCTTTCTTGATCAACTCGGTCAAGCCTGCAAACTCGTGAGAAAGAAAAAAAAAGACGCGAAACGATCTTCAGCGATCGTGTTACTTGAGGGATCAAAGGGGTTGAGAGAGGTTAGAATACTCACCGATATCGTGGGTGTTAAATTGGTAAACCCCCACTAACACACCGCAAGTTACAGCACGTAAAGTCCAGCATGCGATAGGACTAATCACGGGGAATTTCCGCTTGGGAATATAGTCGATCAGCACCTGATCAAATCCCTATCGTTTCATTAAAATTAAAATTAAAAATGGAAATAAATAAATGGCACCGAATAGAGGAGTCATTTTAGTTCGGGTTTTCACAGGAGATCTTATTGAGATCACGTACCATGTGAGAATGTGCGATCAGGAATACAGCGATGACCCCATCAAGTAAAGGGTTGGGACTGGAGATGGCAGTAGCGGCCGAGAGCGGGACGAGACTGGCAGCGACGGAGCGTTCGAGAGTCCAATGGATAGATCCATGAGCTTTACTTGGAGGGGGGAAAGTGGTGGGGTCGTTGATGGACCCTTTAACATATGCTGAAGACGAAGGGAGGCATGATTTTAGCTTGAATAATGATCCTGCGTCATCAAGTCTGGAGGTGAGGTCTTACGGGCATCTGCTCCTGAGGCTGCCTTGACGATCTGCGAGGGTTGTGAATGCCAACAGGGGCCTAGAAAGAGAGATTAAACAGAACGCGATCAATGCCAATCGGATCCGTCAATGGGCTGTAAACTGGGGAGCACTCATGATGACGCACTGGACGAGAATCGGTGGTGGTGGGGAACCGTCAACGATAGTCGATTGAGATGGGCCACCTTGCTCATCGGACGTACTAGGGGGCCGAGACGAGTGGCCGACATGATGTTTCTGGTTGTGAATGGTCTTCGGTTTGGTTCGCTTCGTTGCTGGTGAGATTGTCTTGCTCGACTGCCGTTACCGCGTCATCACCCGAGCCCGCCTCACTGTCCGTGACATCCCTCGTATCCACATGTCACGGGGATTGCACTACTCATGTAAATATTGACAAATCCAACATTCTGCTATATAAGATGATAATTTGGCGGTTTTTATTGGTGGAGCTCTTTTTTAAATAATTTTGTTCAATTTAAACCTTTTTTTTTTTTTTTTTGCCACACTTTCAAAAGTTTAAAACCCCAATGGTTCAATTTATTTCAGGTTGAATTCAGTAAAATCTTGTGAACAAGAACTGTGGAAAAAGTCCAAAAAAAAGAAAAAAAGAAAATTATAACAAAAAAGGGGGATTTATTACAGTTAACCTAAAATAGATTAAACCATTGTGTTTTAAACTATTGAAAGTGTGGGAAAAATTAAATTAAATTGACCCAAGTGCATTGCTTTACAATCAGAAAAAAAAAACATTCAGAAAGCCAGGTGTAGTACCAAAAAATATTGTTTTCCCCACAAACCACAAGAGCCCCCTTGAGAGAAACCCAGCTGAGTGTTATGATCCTGTAACCCCCTCTGGGACTTGCCAGGGGTTCCCCAACTGGGGGATTATCTCCAGTCCCCGCACCTNGGGGGGGGTTGGGGGGCGGAAGAAATGGGCTGTTTGCAGTGTCCCTGTGTGGAATCTCTTGCATGTGAGCTTGACAAGGCTTTTTTTCTCATCTCTCTCTCTCTGTAAAAAAAAAAACTTGAGAATCATCCAAACAAAATCTAAATCAAAAAAGGCTTGCTTATTCATATTACAAAAATAAATCTGTTTCAATAGATAGAGGAACATCCCAAGGTAGCATCCCATACAGACACTATAAGCCATCTTCTGGAAACATGGAATCAGGACACAGTAAATTATACCATAGAGAAGATCAAGTTGGTGTCAGATACATCTAAGGAAAGGTTTTTGGAAGTGAGACCACCACACATTACTTAGTGTACCCAGCTTAGTCCCAAAGGAACACACTGAGTATCACAAAATTTTTCTCAAGTTTATCAGAAAAGCAGAAAAGCTTGAAATGAAGTTTTGAGTTTTTTGAAATGAAAAAAGATAATATTAAATGAAGCACTTTTTGAGGAGCCAGCCACCCTCTCAGTTGATGAGAGAATATCATTGTACGGAGGCACATTTGACCAGCACAAACCATGCAATGAGCTGCCTCTCCACCTTGACCTGAACCTTCTGCAAGCCATGGCCCCTTGGCACACATCCAACAATCAGAGGTACAATTTATTGAGCACATCCTGCTCCTGGTTCATGCTGTTTTTGCCAGTGGTTTTTGAGGTAGTCCTGGTCTGACTGTCATGAGTGTTGCTGATCAAGGCCTTTGGGGCAGGGGAGGGCAATGGACCCAGAAGATGTCTATCATGCACATATAACACTCATTAAGCATTAGTGGTTTTGGCAAGTAATCAAAACAAATAAGCAAAAAAAACACAAAAAACACAAAATACCAAAGAAAATAGGAAGAAACCCAACTAAAATGACAACGACACAAAAGGAGCTTGAACAAACTGTATGGTAATAGATTAATACACACATTAGCGAGAGTCAGTTTCGATCCGACGACCTCTGGGTGAACTCGACCGAAGTCGATATGAGCCCAGCGCGCTACCAGCTGCGCCATCTCGCTTGCTTGTGTTGGGAGAGCCAAACTAAGGTTCATATCCATACCCCCAGAGAACGAACAGCAAGTTTGCCAATCGAAAAATAACAAATGATCGGGCATGAAGGCAAGATACAGAAATCACAGAGAGAGAAAACAAAAGCCCCGCTTGAGAGAAAAAACAGCAGGTTCGAGAGAAGGTTATTCGGCTGTGTATGATGATGCTACTGATAACGCACCCCTGCCCAACTTGGGTGGGTGGCGTGGAAAGTTTCACAGTTTATTGTTATCTAGTTATGGAGTCATCGGGTTTATTGGGATGTAGTTATCGAGTCATCGGGGGATGGCTCAAGCCATGCTTTCTGGAATGACGACTTGAGGCGGGTGATCCTCGACGGATGTTTGGTCGTTCGAAGCAGGCTTGCCAGAAGAGGCAGGAAGGGAAGCTGTAGAAGAATTTGCGTCACCCTCTGCGGTCTTGTCGATGATACCGCTCTCACTGAAGCACAGGATACCGACGCGATCCAGGTCCTGGACAATCTTCTCAGCTTCGGGGATTTCCATCTCACCGATGACCTGGTTGACCTGATCCAACTGTTTGGATTTGAGGGCCTTCTGGAGCTTCTTGGGGAACTGGTTGAACGTGTTCCAGCGATCCCACAGGAACTTACGCACCTCCTCCACATCCAGCTTCGAGGCCTCCTCCGGGTCCTCCGTCTTCAGCTCGAGGTTCTCCGGCGGCGGACCTTCCGGAACTTCAAACGTGATCGAGGTCGTTGGATTCGTCGGGACCAGTTGGATCTGTTCCTTTGACGCCGGCTCTTGTGATCGTTCAGATATAATCACCGCACATCGTTTCGATATCCGGTCGTAGGTCGACTCTACGTCGTTGATGAACACCTCCATCGCCTTGGGTTCACCCGAGCCAACCCTATAAACCATGCGACTCGTGTCATTATTAAAAAATATAAAAGAACCGGAAAACGAGGTCAAAGGAAATGGTGCTTACTTCCGAAAGAAAAGGTTGACCCCATCCCTGCCGAGCTTTCGACAGTACTGTAGTAATAGACCTTGGTGGACGCAGTTCTTGGCGTAGCTTTTTTTGCCCTTCATCTCCGATTCAAAGGCTTCGACAAGTAAAGCATCAGTGGTTGATTCGTTGAGATAGAGTGAAGGGTCGGCCTGGATGGCCGAAAGGGAAGAAGAATAGTCCGATGATTTGATCTTGGCGAATTTTTGTGCCGAAGGGGAGAGCCGCGGGAGGTCATCATCATCATCGTCTTCGTCGTCGTCGTTGCCCTCTTCGTCGTCCGACTGCCCCCCATCGCCAGCCTGTTGTATCGAAAAAGAAGATTGATCAGGTCAAGACGGTTGTAGTGACTTTTTTATCAGGATCATCAACGAACTTGCTCCGAGGTGGCGTCGCTTGCCTTGGGGTTCAAAACTTCAATGTTGGTTTTTTTGACTTTCTTTGTCGATTTGGATTTAGAAGGCGCAGTGATGGGCTCATCAATGGCGGCTGAAGGTTTCTTGTCCACATGCTAGAAAAGAGGGGAGGGTATTGTTAATACTGGTTAAGGGTTGTTAACCGCCCAATTGATCTTACGAGTGCGCGTAAAAATAAAACAAAAAAAGCGAACCGAAACATCAAATCCATCGTGGATGTCTTCACTAGTAATGTGCTTGTGGGCCTCCAGCTCCTCGTTTTCCAATTCGACCTTGCGTTGTTTTTCGCGATCGGCAAGTCGAGTGAAGTGAAAGTTGAGTTCCTTTTCGGCAGCCGCATCTTCATCGGCCGAGCCGGCGTCTTTGATCTTGGACAGAATTTGCGAGATCAAATTGAACAGCATTTGCTCAATGGTAGGTTGCTCATCCGGGGAAGGTTGTTTGGCTTGGCCCTCAGCCGACAGCCTCGAGGCTGTCTGTCGGAGGTGGCTCACTCCATCCTTTTTAGTGTTTGACAACAGCTCTTGGATCTTCTCTAAGAGAGTCGCATTCATCGGTCCCTCCTTCTTGAGGCTCTCGATTTTGAGTTTCCTTTCATCCCGCTTTTGGTGGATCTGTCGTTGCTTGAGACGAATAAAGCTCCGTTTGTCGACACTGTTTTTTTAAAAAAAAAAAGTAGTGAAAGCGAGATCAGGCGTGACTCTGACCAATGAAATTGAATGACAACGATTGGCCATACTTTGGATGGCACTCGATGTCCGAATCATCAGATAACTAAATGAAGGACATTGGTGTCAGCAAGTACGATCGGTTAAACAGCAGCATTAGGGAGATACATGCCTCCAGAGCATCCCACTTGGAATAGTTGAGTGGCATGTTGGTTTATGTGGTTCTACTCGGTGGAATATTTCCTCAGCTTGATTTGAAAGAGACCTTGCTGGCTGATGGGGGGTGATTGTAATCTGCAGTTGTGAAGGACTGTGTTCGGTCGCTAGTTATATGATGTCAAGCGTAGAACTCTCCAGAAGGATTCCGACACTCGCCCCCCGCATTCTGATCAGTCACCACAACGATGACTTCATTCAGAATGGGAAACCAACAGTGGGGGACGAGATCTGCAGCAACACCACTTAATTCAAGTCCGTCTGATTAAATCTGTCAGAAAATTTTCCAGCGGCGCCCACATACTTCCATTCTCCCAGGTCTGTAAAAATAAAAATAAAACAAGATTTCCAACATGTGCACCCTGAGATTCAGGAGCAGATTGGTTTCATGCTCTCTTACGTTCTCCGTAGATTTTTTATAATTCACCCAGAGAAATTACATATCCCATTGGCTCTTTTATTCCTGATCAGTCAACTCCTTGAAAAAGAAAACCATTTCAACTGCATTTGGGTTTTCCTCAGAAAGGCCATTGAGTCTGCAGGGGTCGAGGGATGGGAATGCTAAAACAAAAGTTCTTAAAGACTTGAGGGAACACGAAGGCAGAAGCAGATTATCAGACAATCCTTGAGAACAACAACCCCATTTTGATAGGGCCTTAGGAAAATGACTCCCAATTTTTGGTCAAATGACTCCGACAATGTTGCGGATGTCAATTGTAAGAGTGACCAACCAATTCATTCCTGCTTCACAGGAGTCATTGCACTCAAAGCCCCATTCAAAGGTTTCCCAAAATAACAAAAAATAAAAAATAAAAATATTTCATGTAATACAAGCCCCAACACCAAATAAAATTGGGAAAATCTTAGAGGTCCCACAATGTCTCTTTCCTCCATTTTTCAGGTGGATTCAATATAAAAAAATTAAGAAGGAGGTTTACACATAATCACTAATTTTCCAAATAAATGATACACAAAGCTTCTGAATGAGTGCCCCCAAGGGCCTGAAAATTTTCAAACATTTCCTATGACCACTTAATTGCATTAAAAAAGAATCTGGCCTCATAGAATGTACAGAACTGATCATAGATGTGTACATGTGTTTTTTGCCAAATATTGCTAATTGTGGTGCACATACATTTTGGATGGGTCCTCCCAAGGGACCAAAGGTTTGTGAGAAGTGAGTATAACTCTTTATAAATAGGCTAAGCAATTATTTTCCCGAGAAAATTTACAAAATCAATCACGGAGGTGTGGTCATATTTTGGAATAATCTCCTACTATTTTGAGATTACTCCAAAACACATTATATCTTCTGAATGATTGCCCCCAAGCTCCTAAACCTTTTGAAAATATGGAATACCCCCGCCAACTCTTCTGTCCGTGCTTAGAACGCCCCAGAGGCGCCCCAAGGACCCCAGGGCCCCCCCGAAGCACCCAAAGCGCCTCAGGGACCCCCAGGAACCCCCAGAAGCGCCCCAAGGACCCCCCAGGACCCCCTAAGCGCCCCAAGACCCCCCCACCCCTACCCAGTTACCCAGA